ACCCCCACCTTTGATGTGACCCCCGCTGAGACAGACAAGAGGACAGGAGCCTGGAGACAGCATCATTTATCCCCTGCAAACTCTCAACATGTTCTTCTGTTGGAAAACCAGAAATGCATTTAAAGTTGGTTTGTAGAAACAAACGCACAACTTTTGCACAAACAATACTGTTTTTTACATGTGTTTATGATCCGGTTCACACCTGGCAGTTAAATGATCAGACTCAACTTCTTGATTCACATGTAAATAAACTCAACTCAGCTGAGGACAAAACAGGAAGTTTCTGTAAAATCAGCTATAATGTTTTAATATTTTTTAAATCTTGACAAACCTAATTGATGAAAAGCTCCAATATGAGCGAATTGAAGCATCATAAACTGATTTGTTCTTTTAATAAGAAACAAACGGAACACTTTTGCTTCGTTGTCCTGTTTATTTGTCAACAAATGATGTCACTGCATTTTATTTCCCAGTTTTATACTAAGATCAGCTTATAGAGAGAAATGACAAACATGGCTCCTGGCTGCCTCTTGGCTACAGCTAACTTTAGCTTCATAAACCAGTTAGGTTGATCAGCAATCACTTGTAGATTTGCATCCAGTGATTATTTCTCAGTAGTTTCATGAAAATGTGGTGCTTGTTTATATTTTGCTAACAGACACGTCATCACCCCACCTTTAATGAAACATGATGAATGAATGTGTTGTTGCCTGTAAGAGTGATCAAACTAACCTGGTCAGGAAATGTTGCTGTGAAACCGTCCCTGGTTGTTTAGTTTTATGGCACATCGCCTAAAAAAAACGATGATTCAGCAACAGTGTTTGATGCACAGAAAGTGATGAGTCAGTACATTAAAAGATATGAGTTTGTTCTGTGGTTTTGAGTGAAACGAGCGTTTAGAGCGGGACTTCTTGTGTTTGTTTACATGTTGACATGTCCTCAAACACGGGACAACAAGTCTGGGTGCTTCATGTAGGAACAGACAGACTGTGTGCTAACGCTTCCTATCAGTCTCCAGTCGGCCCCAGTCTGGTGTGGGGGGCAACAGATCCTGCTGGGCAACCCTTTGATTGGCTCCATTCAGACTCTTTCATCTCTAATGAACCTGTTTGCTGCTCTGTTATGGAC